AGAGAGAGAGAGAGAGAGAGAGAGAGAGAGAGAGAGAGAGAGAGAGATGTTAATGAACAAAAGAATAACTGCAATCTACAAACTCCAATCAGGTTAATCAGGTTTCAAATCAGAGGCTGGGCTTTAATAATGGAAGGATCCGATATCTCAAACCCCACCCCTAGGACATGGTTGCTTCACAACATAACACTGACATAGTAACCAGTCAGGTAAATAAACACAAACTGTGTTTTGTTGTCGTTAGGAGGATACGTAAAGCTGAGAGTTGTCACTGTCAGTTTGTTGAATGTGTCGTTCGTTCAAACACCAAACATGTGCCGCCAAGTGTTTTCCCTCATGTCATTTGGAGTCCACCACTTTGATCTGACCGGAAATAAGTCTATTTGATGGAATGCCATGAAACTTTGTACAGACATTCATGGTTTCCAGAAGATGAATCCCACTAAATTTGGTGACCTGCTGACCTTTCTTCTAGCGCCACCATGTGACATTTATGGCTTTTAGTGAAATATCTCAACATCTACGTGATTGGTTGTATTGGTTGTGCCACCATCAGGTTGTTGTAATTGTGAGTGAAATATCTCAACAACTATTGGATGGATTGCAATGAAATTTGCTTCCGACATTCATGTTCCCATCAGGAATACTTGTAATAACTGTGATCAAATTATTGATTTGTCCAACATACAGGATTGGTTTATGAACAAATACATGCTAAAACACTAAACTAAGATGGTAAACATGGTAAACATTACACCTGCGAAACACCAGCTTGTTAGCATTGTCATTGTGAGCATGTTAGCATGCTGATGTTAGCATTTTACTGTGACAAAGTACCGTGTCGATGAGCCACTAGCATGGCTTGTTTTTCAGTAGTTTTGCATGTTTGTGGCACCGACTTCAGGATACTTCACAGCAGGAAGGGTCCTTTTGTTTTGGGCAGATACAAACTTTGAGGCTCAGATTTGGGTAATTCCAGTTTCCATTCATGTTTCGGCTCTGCTGAGTAATAAATGACAGTTAGTTTAAGAAGTGCAGCGTCATCATATACATTGCTTTTTCTCACCAGTTAGTTTCACTATAACGTGAGCATCTTGTCACCACTTCTGGACAGTGTGTTACTTTACTTTAACTTCATTTTAAACATAAATTGATATTTAACAATCCCAGCCATTCCTAAATATACTGTGGCATGCAGTGGTACTTAATATTTTCTTACTTTACTTGAAACTTGAAAACACAAAAATTTAAATTTCATCTTTTGGCACAAAAATGACTTTAAGTTCTCAGCTACAGAAAAAAAACACTACCAACAGAAAGGAAAGTTTAAAAATCTTGTTTCATTGGTTCTGCATTCAGACACCTGAAAAGTTGGCACAAGACTTGTACTTGTCTCAAATTACGTGAGTCATAAACAGCTCAAAGTACGTGAGTCATGAACAGCTCTGAAGGCTGCTGTCGACATTCATGATCACACTAGAGATACAGGATGTTGAAGCCGTGCTGTTTACAGCTTTGTTTCATGCGACAGTCAATGAAAGCACAATAGAAGACTGATGTGTAGTGTTTATTAATTTGGACGGTCATCGCCGTTATTACAGAATCAATTAAATGATTCAGCAGCAACATTACACACTGCACACCAAGCTGCAGTGATGATTACGTAAGACAATTATCACTGATAGTTTTGCTGATTTGTTCATCATCAGAACAGCCGATTCGTCCCGCAGTCCACCATCTTGTTCACCGTCTCAGGAGGAAGCATGATGTCCAGAGAACTAATTAATGCTTGATTTGATGCAGGTGCATTTACCTGTGCTGACTGTCATTCTTTAGAAACTGGTATCAAACCTTTGACCCCGGTTTTCATTTCTACAACACTCCTTAGAGGCAAATATGCTCTGGAGGGAGAAATTACTTAGTTAAATAAAATCTCAAAGAACCTCAGCTTCTCTGACTAAGTGAAGCTGGATTGAAGCTACCTTAAATATGTTGATGTGGAACGACGGTCACCATGCTATGGATAAATGTATTGTCACATTATTTCCATTTACTTAAATAAACTAAAACTGTAGTTAGCAAAAAACTCCCTCCACAGCGGACACATTTGAAGATGTCAGACAGACGTTTTTAAACACACGGACGAATGATTGTCAATCTTCAACATATTTCATTGTAGCAGCAAAACTAAAAGCTAAACCTCCTTGTCGCTATCTATAATACAATACAGGCTGTTATCAGACATGTCTTTCTGTTTTTTTGTCAGATGACTGCAGGAGTCAAACAGTGATTTCAGTTTGAAATGGACATTTCAGGACGTAAAGAAATGAGCGGTGCAGTTAGCAGTTAGCTCTAGCATTTCTCCTTCTCCGTGGACATCCTCCCATCATGCCATGCTTCTCTGGTGCTCCTCAGGGCCTTGGTTCTTTTGGGGTCCACCACCACGTAGTCCACACGTGTACGCTCGCCCCGTGCGCGCTCCTCGCCTGCTCCGGCCTGCTCGCTGCCGACTCCACCTTCTGCCGTGCAGCGTTTCTGGTTATGGTAAAGATGTATATTTTATCACTTGATGTATTGATTTATCGATGCAAGAAGACAACTTGAGAAGAAGAAACACAGCTTATAAATAAACTATACAACTTATATATATATATATATTAAACAACACAGTACAGAGAGAAGGAGAGAAAGTTGTGTCACCTGTCTTGTCGGCGTCGATCGCCCGGTGTGGAGGTCCAGGTCCAGGTACTCCACCTGTTTGTCGCCTCTGGCTCGCCGTAGCATCGGGCTGCTGACTCCGCCCTCTGAGGCCCGGTGCAGCATGAGCCTCAGAGACTGTAGACACAAAGTTTAGTTCAGCAAACATTAAAGGTGCTACGTATGAGTTCGGGAGCACTTCTGTTGCCTCCACACGGCTCACAACATGGCGACGGCTGAGCCTGCGGCTTGCAGCTAACGGCGTTAAGAGCGCTAACAGTGCAACGCTGTGTGTCAGGGCGGCTTTGATAAAATAATTTAGGGATGGATGGAGGGGAAGATGATTGATAGGAAGAAGGATGCAAAGAAGGAAGGATGGAGAGCAAAGACATTAATGATGGAAAGAAAAAAGACAGTGGAAATGAAGGAGTGTTTTACCGGCTCCCCGGCGCTGAAACTGAGGCTAGGGGTGGTCATCATGGCGACGTAGCTGTCATCGGTGTCATCGGAGTCGGAGGAGAGGGAGGAGCTGTGAGCGGAGGTCGGCCTGAGCGACAGACAACTGGACGGACTGACACACAATGAAAAACAGGAATGCATTTTAGAGCGGCAACAATCTGTTGATTTTCATTATTAATGATCTTTTTCTTTTGAGTTTGTGGCAGTTTGTCAAGACACATTTGACCAAATTTAAATTATTAGTCAATAAAATTGTTTTAGTTAAAGATCCAAACATAATGGTTTTACTTGTCTTGGTAAAATAGTAAATTGCATATTTTGGGTTTTGGACAAAAGAAGACATTTAAAGACATCAAATAAAACAATAGGAAATTGTAATGGGTATTTTTTTAACTGTGTTTTAATGTAATAAAGTCAAAACAATTAATGAATTAATAAGACAATAACTGGCAGCTTGATTCATTATCTGCAGCACTAAACCACAGGGAGGCAGCAGAGCATAAGCACAGCTCAGATATTCACACATCATACTTCTCTGGTTCTGTAGGAGACCTTCAATATTCATGTTTTCTGTTGTGTTGACGCTGCAATAAAACATCACACACACAAACATACACGCACTTACTCTCGTGTGAAGGTTCGAGTGACAGGCGAGCGGACAGGGGGCGGGACTTCCTGCCAGTCCTGCTGCACTGAAGTGATGTCCAGAGGAGCTGGTTTCACTGGGAGAGAGAGAGAGAGAGAGAGAGAGAGAGAGAGAGAGAGAGAGAGAGACTACTTTTAGATTTAGGACCAGGGCATTTTAAAACATATTTTAAACCCTGCAAGCAGTATGAAATTTATTTATACTTTGTAAACATTGATATATGTTGCAGTTTGGGATAAGAGAATATTGAATAGCAGTGCAAAAAGCAGGCTACTTTTTGGCCAAAATGAACTCTTTCCTGTTGACCTACATTGAAAGAGAAACGTCTCCGGCCAACAGAAAGTGTAAAATGAAAGTCTTGAATCTCCAAAAGACATAAATGCTAATGTTGCATTTTAAAGTTTGAAAACAAAAAGCTTTTTACAACGAAGCAGCAGTGTTGCAGAAACACCTCCCGAACTGTCAACCTTTACTAATATTTAATGAGTTTCTATAAGCTACAGCTCCGTATATGGAGCCGTGGCTGTCACATTGTTGAGCAAAGTGGGAGCAGGTAAATAATTAATACCAAAAGAGGTTGAAGGGGAACAAGTGAGACGAGAAGTGACAAACAGAGAGCGACACAAGGGGGGATGTGGAGAGAGAAGGAGCCACTGGGAGAGAAGGAACGACTTCAGGAACAGAAATCACAGACTTGTGGTTCGTACCTCTTGTTTTGTGTGTCGGCTCTGCAGCCGTCTGGACGTCCGCTCTCTCTGCAGGCTGACGACCGACACCGACTCCTGCAGTGATTCAGAACATCAGTGCCTTATAATAAGGTTCTATTATGTCTCAATACTGACAAGTATAAGAAGTGATCAGATATCCCTGATAAGCTCCTACTCACCTCTGCGTTGTGGTTTCAGGTTGCGGTGGATCGGAGGGGGCGTCGCCTCCACTTCCACTCCACCAGAGGTGTTCATAGTGTTCCTCCGGAGCGGCGGGGTGAGGGGGGCCACGGGAGTCAGGGGGCAGTTACGAAAACCCATGTGGGCGGGTGGGGGGACTTGTCTCCCGAGGGAGGCCAGGTCGCCTGTGGCAGGGGTGGGATGAATGGGAAGGGAAGGGGTGAGGGGGGTCATGGGGACGTAGTTGGCCTCCTGGAGCCGGACAGAGGGGTCAGAGGGAGGATGTGGAGGCACCCTGGAACAAGAGAAGAAGTAATTAGAAATTATCTCAGTGTCTTGTTCATGAGTGACGGCTTCTTCTATAGTTGCTGTCCTGGTATCCAAGAAGAGGTGAGACAATGTCCTGCTTTAATCCAGGTTCTCACTAAAAGGCACTGGATCGAATTTGTCCAAAGGGAGTCCATTTAGGTCCACAAACAGACGTGAAGACAGGCTCGCCTGGCTGTGTCATTTACGCCGGAAAATCGTCTCTATATAAATGTTTATAAAGGTCTCAAAAGAAACATATTATTATGATTACATGTTATAAAAATCAACGTTTTTTGTTTCAACTGCAGGTAAAAATTTCAGTTGAAAAGGGTGATTCTTTTAAATCCTTTAAAACGAATCATTACATGAACATGTCGCGTATCTTCTGACTAACCTTGGTGCAACAGGAGGCTCAGTGGTGGCAGCGCTCATGGGAACATAGTTTTCGCCCACATCATCATCTTCAGAGCAAACACTACCCAGAGGTACCATGCCTTTATTAAACTGAGAGATAGGAAGAGAGATTTACATTTTGACATGATACAGATATAAAATGCTAAAAAAAAAAGACATTAAATATGTACATTTATTGTATTTTATTCTTGCGGTTTTAAGAGATTTAACTTACGAAGTAACTGTTGAAGCTCTCGCTGAACTCAAACATGCTCGCTCTGTCGGACAGAGACCGAGGGATGTAAAAAGAGTCACAACCTGAAACACAGAGGATAGAAATATGTACATAAACCACCATAGTTCAAAATCCTCAACAATTTGGGATTAACTCTTACATTGCTGAGAGTTGAATGAGCAGTTTGATACCAATCTCGGATATCTGTGCGTTCAGTACAGAGCTGGAGCCAGGAGGTTAGCTTAGCTTAGCATGAAGACTGGAAACAGGGGGATACAGCTAGTCTGGCACTGTCCACAGTTCCAAAACTGCCTACTAACAACTCTAAAACTAATTAGCATGCAGTGACTTGTTAATTTAATTAAAAAACTAAATGAAAAACATTTCACCACTATTACATTGTACACATGTGACTTATTGGCAGAAGAGCGTTAAGACTTGTGTTGACAGAGTGCAAACAGAGCTTGACCAGATCTGAATGTAGATGTCACTAAGAAAGTAAACATCTGTGCACAAAGCATCAAGTCCGAGCATGTTGTAGTACAGAGACGGTTGTCTTTAATATGCTCTAAAGTGCCATGAAAGAACTTTGGAGAATTATGGAACATTTTTACCCACCAGGCTTGAAACAAAAAGTCTTTGTGCCGTTCAGGGGCAAAGGTCTCGTCTCATTAATGAAACTAATTCCAAACGAGTCACGGTGCAAACGGGAACAAATAGTTTCCGCTGTGGATATAATCCATCAACACTGCCAGCTCTGCACAATACAGCTTGATCTCCTCTGAGGTTTAAAACCCTCTGCTGAAGCTCTCTACAGGGATTTCACAGCCACTAATACTTCATATTGAACATTTATTTCCAAAATACTACTAATTTACACGACAAATACTAACAGACTGTCGTCTGTCAGATGAATAACCAGATATTTTTTGTCAGGAGTAACCATAAGATATAATTGACCACAAAGAGACAAAAGATGACCTAAAAAGACACAAAAGCACCAAAAAGACACAAAACAACATCAAAAAGAGGCGAAAGCATCACAAAGTCTGTGTCTTGCTCCTATAGAAAAGGAGGCGGGGCCTTTTGCATTTGCATTGTCTCAATGTCTCATGTCTACAGCGAGCAGCTGGTTAGCTTAGCTTAGCATAAAGACTGGAGACAGTCAAAATCCAGCCCCTTTTGAAGCTCACGAATGAACACATTAGATCTCCTTTTGTATAATCCGTAGAAAAAAGGTGTCAAAAAGGAGCATAAAACTATTCTTTTAAAACAAGACCTTTGATGAAAGACAGGCTGCTCTCTTCTTACCTGTCGGTGTGCGTCCCGGCGCAGTGATGGTGTTGCTCCTCGGCAGACCTCCTCCCTCCACGCATCCATCCCTCTTCTCTGGCTCTGAGGAGGAGCGGGGGAGCGTGGCCGCGGCGGTCTGGGGCTTGGGCGGGCGTGGAGGGGGAGTCGGGGTTGAGGCGTGGAGCTCCGCCTGGGTCATGGAGTCCACGCTGGGGGTGGAGGATGGGCGGCGAGGGGGTCGTGGTTGCGTGGTGGACGCCGGACGAGGGATCTGATAACCGCTGGTGGTGTACGAGTGGGTATTTGGATGCACGGCGGAGTGTCTATTGTCACTGAGAGGTATCGTCACGGGCCGCAGGTGGAAGTCCAGGGAGTGCTTCCTGGGATGAGGAGAGGGGTGACAACGAAGTCGGCCGGCTCGTCTCTGGAGGTCAGAGGTCACGCTGGCATCCAGAGACTGGCTCAAAGGGCCTGTCTTGGAGGCAGCCGTCCAAGGACCTGTCCTAAAGCCGGAGGAAGAGGAGGACGATGGAGGTGGGAGGCCGTTGGGAAGTAGGGAAGGAGAGGAGGAAGAGGAAGAGGAGGAGGAGGTGGCGGAGGGAAGAGGGTTGTCGTTGTAGTCGGTTTCAAGAGAAGTGGAGGAACCTAAAGGAGGCCTAGAGACAGAGAGATACCAAAATAAGAGTTTTTAAACAACAATACAGTAAAAAAACTGTTCAGATTAAGTTGTTTTTCGGTTTCAAAGAGCTCCACACCTCAGCAAATCACAATCCTACCTGGACGATACAAATCTTTCCAACTGTAGAGGGACATTTAGCTTTCATTGTGCTGTTCTGATGACCTGTCGCATGCAGGTATGTGAAGACATCTGTGGGCGTGATCCAGGCTAAAATAAACCTCTAATCCCTGATTTTTTCAGATTCAACACGTCTAAACCTGTAACTCTGACTGTTAAGTCTGGATGATTTACCTTCAGCCGGGTTTCTTTAGTCTTGTTTCCTGTATTTGTGTTTGTCTGTGTGTTTACCTGATGTGACTCTGGCAGTGCGATAACCACAGGTAATCTTCCTCTGCATTGCGGTTGTGAACCAGGACCCTGACATTCACCGGGTCATAGGGGGGTGGGACCGACCCTGATATCGCAGCGATGGCGGCAGTGCGACTGGCCATGGTCATCGCTGTGATGGAGGACGAGCCAGAGACAGGAGGTCTCTCCGGGACTGTAGAAAATAAAAGTGACCCACATAAGAAAGGAAAAACTTCGGATAAACTCTTCCAAGTTTCTGTGTCTCTCCCTGCAGGGCATCGTGGGTTTTGGAGTGTTTGTCATTAGAGAAATTTAAATGGCGCTATTTTCTTTATAGCCCGCCCTATCAACATGAACTTGGCAGATATTGTAAATTGTAATTAGTGGTCAGCTAACATTAGAAAACCAAGACAGAGTTCAAATGACTGCAAAAGGCAAAACTGTTATACAGAATATCTTATGATATTTTACATCTGAGTCACCGACATCTTTTCTTTCTGCATGTTCTCTCTCTTCTCTCCTCCCACTGGTTTTCACACTGACTCAGCAACAACCCACACTTCTATCTATCTAAAGCAAAAGTGCTATCCATCCATCTATCCATCCATCCATCCCTCTATCTATCTATCCGTCGTACCGTCATCAGTCGGGTTGAAGCCACAGAGCAGGCAGATGGAGGACACCCAGCGGTTCATGTCCTCCTCAGACTCAGCCACCAGGTACCAGGTCCTCTCCTCCGTCCTCAGGTCGAAAACGAAGCTGCTCTCCAGCTCCTTCTTCGTGAACGTCAGGCCGGCATCCACCTGAGGGAGAAGGCCATACAGAGAGGCGGACATGGTGAATGAGTGTTGGAGCATTTATAGAGCACACAAATGTGCAACATTCAGCTAGCGTCAAAACGTGAAAGTTCAATGATCTATCATTTTGAAAAACAAAAAAGCCCCACATTTTGTTACGCTTTTAACTAACACAGAACACTTTTAAACATGCACAATAAGGAGCATTAACTCAGGTCATTGATGGCGTCCGTGTACCTGTTCACACAGGTTCAGGTTGATGGTCCTGATCGGCCGGCGGGACTGCTGGTTCTTGAAGTACTGCAGGACGTCCGGCTCCCCGCTCAGCCGACCGCTCCGCAGCACGAACCAACGCTTCTTCCACGCCTGGAGACAGGAACACTTCCTCCTTCAGTTTATCTCATTCAACATCACCGACATTTACAGAGAGCAAGTAGATAAACCCTTTCTATTTTAGAGGTGTGGGCTGAACAAAGTGACAGTATATCTGTTTTTTAGGACTTTTAGTCTTTTTGCAAAATGATATATTTGACAGATTATTGACTAAAAGGTCGGTTAAGAAGATAATGTCTTAACTTCCTTCTTGTCCTCTCTCTCCTTCTCTGACGATAAGGCTGACTGGTGTCTCTCTCCAATGTCAGAAGTTTGACACTCCAGTAACTAAACCTCACACACACACACACACACACACACACACACACACACACACACACGTTGCTAAATGTTTG